TTTTGATAAAAAAAATATTAAAATGAAAAACATTTTTAATTTTACTTTTAATATACTAATAATAAAGAATAAAAATATTAATTTAAAAAAATATAAACGTTTTAAAAAGTGATTTGGCTTTTGATGTTAAAATTAATTTATATCTCTCATTATATTTACTCTCATTTGATTCCTGAGAAAGAAATAACACCGAATCCCAGATAGATAGAAACGCTCGGTGTCGCTCGATTATTCGATAGAAACGAAAGAAGAGAGAGTACGAAAGAAGAACGGGAGAAAGTGAGAGAAAGAGCGAGAGAAAATCAAAATCGCGAAAACTTACTTTCGCGGAGGGTCACCATGTAGTAGGACGCCTGGCTGGGCTTGCTGCGTCCTAAAGCATTTATCGCCGCCACCCGAAAGCTGTACACCGTGAATGGTCTCAGATTCTCGACGGTGTAGAACGTGTCGTTGTGCGGCGTTATGATCTCCTTCGTCGCGTTCCACGGTCCGTCCTCGTCGATGCTGCAAACAAGAAAGCGCGGCGCGTTATGACATTTGCAATTCAGCCGGCTCGCCACGTGACTGGAAGTCACGCGCGAGAACCGTCGTTGCACGAACGCTTCATAACGCGGGAAACTTCCAAAATCGTTGCGAAAAATTCCATACAAGTCGCCCGACCTAATATCCCAGCCTCGCTCTGGGATATTTTCCTTCCTCTTCCTTTCCTTTTTTTACACTCGGCTCGCGAGAGGAAATATCTTACTCGGAGGTTGTTTGATTTTCAGAGGGCACAATATGATAATATACATCATTAACCTGCCTCAGTACAAAGTTACACGGAACTCCTTTAAACTACATTAAGAAAATGTTTCAGGAGATGATGTTGGTTAGAGAATTCTATATGCGATGTGAAGAAGAGAGAGAACTTCTGCGAAAGGTATTCAAATTGCAAATGCGCAATTCTTCAGCTAACATCGCGCGTATGCGTAGCACGGAATCTTGTATCGATGATAGAAAAAATAATACTGAAACTGATGATTGAGAAATGTGAGTACGCCTGAACTTTTTTGCTATATATTTATTAACTTGAATAATGTACAGTTCGAGTAATAACACATATAGACAGAAAGAGGAATTAAGAAATGCTAGATAAATCGATTCGTCAATAATTTAATATATTTTTGTAATTTTGGTAACAAAAATTTAATATCTCTCTATCGACGTGAAACTTTACTTGTTGAAAATTTTGTACAATTAATTCATATAATATTCATTTTATATAATATACGTAATCAAGTCATATATAATGATTTGTTTCGAATATTGAGTCTCAAAGATACATATATATATACATATATATATATATATATATATGTGTGTGTGTGTGTGTATGTATATTTACGACACAATATTCAATTTTTAATTTAAAAAATGCATAATATCTTAATAATTTTTTGCTGAAAATTTGTTTTGCATTGTTTCACGAATGATCGGTTTTACTAAAACTTTAAATCTGCAAATTGATTTCAGCGGAGGGAAAAACATATATTGCAAGAATTAATGCTGGAATTAAATGATATATTTAGAATTTATATTTTACTTTAAAATTATTGATTTAATATACATAATTGATTATTTTTACATTTTATGTACGCTTAAATTATTTTGTATCTCTATTTCATCTCAAAAGTTTTTGCAATTTAAAATTTTTAAACTTTTTTACATTTTTCACTTTTTGATCAATTTCAAAAAGGTAAATACAATAAAAAATTTTTATAATCCATTATGAAAAATATTAATTACAAATATCTTTTTTCACGAAAAAAATTAAAAACGACTCCCTTACTCCATTTACACTTTAACTTTTTTCCGAATCTATTTGATATATCAAATAGTATAAATATAAAAATTTTTAAATTTTGTTAAATAACATTTACTATTAACGCGCAATCAATAATACAAAAGGGTTTTTTCGTGGACATCCGAGAAACATTGTGTTCATCTGCGCGGTCTATTTGATATATCGAATAGTACAAACATAAAAAAATATTTTTTCTAAATAATAACATTCGCTATTAACGCGCAACCAATAATACAAAAAGGTTATTCCGTAAACATTCGAGAAACATTGCCGTGTTCATCTGCGCAGTCTATTCTTATTAATCTACAGTTAAAGTAGCGTGCATGATGAAGCGCCGCTCCGGGTGTCACGGAAGCGAAATCGATCCCGATCCGTCGAAATAATTCATCCGTGAATCAGTCGCGAGTGCTATAATAAATCAACGGATGGTATCGTTTGCGGTGCGTCGAAAGTGATATCTTGATTTTCAACGATAGGCGTCAATGATAATCCGCCGGTTCAACGCTCGTGAAAGCGAATCGTTCGCGGATAGCCAAACGCGCGAGAGGGTGAGGCAGGGGGGAGGAGGGGGTTTCGAATAAATCTACGTGATCGTTTCGGCGTGTCAATTAATCGGCGATCGTGATCGATATCCTGATCTATATCATCGTCCCTTGGAATAATTTTACGGGTGCAACGCGGGTGTGAAGCATTATGCCTGAAGGACGTCGCCATCATGTTGGATAAGGAGATTTGTCTTTCTCTTCTCGATGTTTGAATGTTTATTTTTATATATTTCTCCATTTCGCATTTGTGAAATGGGCATGCTGTAAGATTAGCGTTGCACCGACTAAAAATTGTTTATAATCAGTGCGAGAAAACAAGTAATTTCTTCTTCACAAATCATTTTAAATTTCTAAAGTCAACATGAATCAAATTTCGATTAACTTAAATAGTTAATTTCAGTCAAATAACATCTATACTATTTTATTAGTGTAAATGGAATTATGTATTGTGTAACATGTAAGAGAAAAGATTAGATTAGGGATTAATTTGATTGTTTGCTTTAAGCAATTCTATCGATAAATTAATCATAAATTAGTTAAAGTGAAAGCCTTAATTTCAATTAAAGTCCGATTAATTTACTCTACGATTAACATGTTAAATAATATCTGTGGTATTTTACTATCATAAATGGAATTATTAATTTTTTGCTGTATAACATATACGAGAAAAGATTAAATTAGGAACTAATTTGATCATATGTTTTAAGCAATTCGGCCGACAAATTAATCGATTAAATTAATCAGAAATTAATTAAAAAGGTCTCAACTAAAATTCTCGACGATTAACATGTCAAATAATATAGTATTTCATTAGCATGGACGGAATTATTAATTTCTTGCTGTATGCCATAAAAAAATAATAGGATTTAATTATATTATTTGTTTAAAATAATTCTGTCAGATAAATTAATCATCGATTAAATTAATCATCAATTAAATTAATCATATTTGATTGAAATGACATTATCACATTAAAAAATTTCGAGCGTATTAATAATCTAAATCTCTTTAAATTAAATAGATTCAATACCAACGGATTCAATTCAAATTCCCAATTCGCGATTGTCAATGCGCAGTCTGGATTTTAGAAGAAATCGCACGAAAATTTAATTATGATTTTTCAAAGCCACTGCGCGAAAACCGCGCGCAAAATTATTACCGTCCCTGCAAAACGCGCACGTCGAGTGGCGTGTAATTCTCGCAGACTAATTAGCGGTCGAAGACGCAGTGCGCGACAAGGGGGAGGTGGGGAATTTTATCGTCTTCGAATTGCATATCTGCGTTTTGCAGTAATTAATATAGATTATTAATCGTTGCGCGATCTGTTACGGGAAAGTTTCTCCGCGCAGCTGCGGTTCGAATAATTGCCACAGTTTGCATTCGCGCGGGTCGATTCGTTCCACCGGTATTGTGCGTGTGCTTGTACATACCACACACACACACACACACACACACACACACACACACACACACACACACACACACACACACACACACACACACACACACACACACACACACACACACACACACACACACACACAACCCCCGCAACATAATGTATTTGTCACGTATAGCGAATTGCGATTATTTTCGGTGCGCTACGACGTTAATTTCCGAAGTAGTTTACCGGTCCGTTATTTTTCATCGACAAATAATATTCCAGCGGCAACGAAGCGTCATTTATTCACGGTTTATCCGCGAGACGTGTGTAAAAATACCGTACCTCTCGCCATCATAGTCGCGGGAAGAAAAAAAGAAGATTCGTTTTCGGTTCTTTTCGGCACACATAATGGGATAAATATAGGGTGTCCCGCGCCACATGAGCTTTATCGGTCTATGGCGAGGAGAGCGTGTTCGATATCGATGTAATGACGAGAATTTCCGCATTTAGTGTTAAATACACGCGGCAAGGGAAACGTGAGCCAGTCCACCGCGAATTACAATAGAGAGAGGTGAAGAATAACGTTATACACTCGCGCACACCCTCGTATCGGTGGACATATATGTATATATACGTACATTCGCGCACCTCCTGCCGGCGATGCAGGACCTATATGTTCAACGTCCCTCTCCTATAGGACACAATCAATTTACCGCCGACAAACCCCCATCGCCAATTTGCCGTTGCAAGATAAGGGAATGATACAGCAATTAAATGCAAAAATGACCTGTCGCCCCCGCGGTTTTTATTCGCGCTATTTTTGCGCTCGAAAGCTCGACGCGGAAAAAATAATCGACGACTTGTATCCAATTAGCGCAATTCGCGTCATTGCATTCTGCGGCAAATTCGCTTGAATTTTCGATACGCGAGATACATTTTACATGAAAATTTACGGCCTACAGGTGTGCGCACGGCGCCGCGCCGCGATGAGGCGGCCGAAGATATCGTTCCAAGCGGAAGAAACGACACTCGCACTTGTACGTGTTTTCCCTTTCTTTTCTCTTCCTTTTTTTTCTTTCGCTTTTCCGCGGAGGAATTAGATTAAAAGCTTCGAAAAAGCTTTCGCGCGAGAGCGCGGCGCGCCTTTATTCACTTTCAGGAGGCCGCACTTAAGCAAACGTCTCGCCGCGGACTTAATTCGGTCGCGCGGACGAATGCATGCGGCATATTAAGTTTCTCTATCGCGAAGGGGAGAGAAACAACTTTCTTATTAAGACTCGTCTCGGAGGTAATTGATTGTTTCAGTTCTTCCGCCTTGATTTTTCTCCCGTCGCCCCGGCGGCGTCGCGCGGCGAAAAAAAAACAGCGCGCGGGAGCTACTTCTCCCCCTCCCCGCACTTCGCAGGAGAAGCGTATTTCAAGAAACTCGGGACAATTAATTATTCGCTCGTTCGCGAATGAAAAACAATTCCGCGATGCCGATTTCTTTTGTCTTCCCTCCCCACCCACCCTCCCGCAATCGTACTTCCGATACGCAAATGAAGACACTCCTCGCAAGACGCCATCCTCAACTTTTCAATTCTCGAACTTTGCGGAGGATAACGCATAAATTATTTACGGATAAATCCGCGAGATGCAATTTGCGGGAATGTCATGAATTATCGAAAATGCGCCAGTTCTTTGAGCCTGCATTAAAATCTCTTCGGATCGATTTTTCCGCGATGAAAATGTCGAGAAAAGTCATCTCTCTCGCTGTCTCTGCATTTTTATATATATATATATATATATATATATATATATATATTATAGATGATATTTAAAAATTTAGGTTACTACAAGCATATCA